CATGTGGCAATAGCGACGAGTGGGGATGGGCAGGTAAAAAGCTATATTGATATTTTTAAACAGTAATTGTAGCTTCTTTTGACCAATAAAAACTGCCGATTGAATTACCAATATTGACACTTTAGTTACCGAACACCAATTACAACTTAAGGTGAAGTAGGCACCAAAAGCAGATTTTTCACGCTTTATAGGTGCGCAGAAAATCATTTTTTGTCATTAAATACCACGAATTTACATTTTTTTTATTTGATTATGAAAGTTAAAGATTTTTCTTTGTAAACCAAAACACGATCGATAGAAAAAAATAACTTAAAAAATTTCCTCAAAATCTACAATTTTAGGTACGTCCACTTATTGAAAAAGCAGTTTCATTCGAAAGTAATGAAATCAATTTCAATTAAATTCAGGCTATATGTTCACCAGTAAATACGTGAGTGAATTATGGATTTATTTTTCAATAAAAGTGTATGTATCATTTTAAAAAGAAATATCAAATTAATATTGTGCGATTAAATAGCGCGTGGGCCGACCAAACAGTCCCGCCAGGCATCCGCAGCGCGTCGTAGAGAGCACCCGTGTACAACTTTATCACGCCCGCTGTCGTCGTATAATGTAACAATATATTAAAAAAATATTGATTACCGTGGTATGCCCATTGAGAGGTAGTGAAAAATTACGAATCCAAACTGATTTGGATGCCTTCCTTAGTCCTAGTATCTACTCAAACAGTGAGGTAGTAGCAAGTAATTAACATGTAAATACAGGTACTAAGTATGTTTATAATACAAACTGATAAGTAAAAATTTGTTATAGGTATGAGTAAAGCTTACGGATGTAAGACGTGTCCTTCACTGCTGGCCATATGAGGACGCTCAAGGTCGCTTAGCGAGCAATGGACAGGGCTATGCTCGGAGTTTCTCTGCGTGATAGACTCAAATGCGGATGCCAAGTTGATGCCAAGATGCCAAGGCTCAAAGAGGATATCCGCAGTAAAACCAGAGTGACCGACAAAGCCCAACGGATAAGTAAGCTGAAGTGGCAATGGGCCGGCCATATAAGCTTGAAGAACCGGTAACCGATGGGGAAGAAAGATTCTCGAGTGGCAGCCTCGTACCGGTAGGCGTAGTTTAGGGAGACCCCCCACTATATGAAGTGACGACCTGGTAAGACGTGCAGGAAGTCGATGGATGCAGGTGGCTCAGGACCGTGCTTTGTGGCATTACTTGGGGGAGGCCTATGTTTGTGAAGGGCTGTAATGATGATGATGATGAGTAAAGCAACCATTTATTTATTCCTCAGAGCGGGACGCCCTTAAAATTATTATAATTTTAACACTTGACTGCCTTCTTGGTCTAATGGTCTTAAACGCAATTACTGATCATGTGGTCCCGGGGTCGAAACCCGAGTCGGGCCAAGTATCATTTATTGGGGTTTTCTGTCACCAAATTTTCAGTCGCAGCTTGGGATATTGATTTTGAACTTACTGTGTGCCTCTGGAAGCACGTAAAGCCGTTGGTCCTGCGCCTGGTCTCTCTCCCGCCGTCTCGGATTACCGTTCCATGGGACTATAAGAGTGAGGGAATGGGGTAGACCTGTACTTGCGCATACACTTGAGTAATATAATCCTGTACTGCGCAGATGAGAACAGCCGCTGTTACCAAAATTCAATCTGGAGCCCTTTATTATAGTTTTAAAAATAAAATACATAGTTGTTTCAATCTTTTAATGATCAAAAGTGAGAATGAGAACTTAGAATTATACAAAATCTGGCTGCTGGCTTTTTAATTTTTTCTAAACAGCAAATAAATACTAATTAGAAACAACTTATGTTATTTGATAATTTATTGTAGATTTATTAAAAATTATCACTTCGTAACTTTAAGTTCAAAAGTGTAGGTTTTCAGAATAAGCACGTAACTAGTCAGGCCATGCCGGCAAACCTGATACGCGCGGTGTCATAATGCTGGCACGGGTGACAGAGATTGTATGATGCTACACTTTTGTTTGTCAAAGCGAGACATTTTTACGTATTTTGGCGACAGCGTTATACTTATCTTTAAATCGGGATCGTCCCGCCTAAAGTGTGACGTATGATCACGTTAGGTATGAGGGAACTGGTATGTAACAGATACTTTGACGAAGTGACTGCTCCTTGGCGCACTGGCTCGGCAATGAGTGGCTGCGCTGGGGGCCGGGGGCTTGAATCCAGCACGGAACAAGTATTTGTATGGCCCACAAATAATTGTTTCGGGTCTGGATGTTAGTCCTTGTGAAATTCATGTTTGTAAACAGCCTCCACGATAGAGGAGAAATTCCTAGTGTGGGGGTACCGGTATTTTCCTAGTGTGGGGGTAACAATATGTTCCAACTAAATCCCCTTACATGCAGAATGATAAGTACGTATATCCAAAATGGTTTAATGCTGATATTTTATATGTAATATACGTAAAAAATATTATCATTTGAAACAGTATAAAGCTGAAGGTAAAGAGTTCAACAAGGAATTATTTAAATACTATAGGTGGCATGTTAAAAACTTAATTGACAATGCATATAAGCAGCACTTACATCTGACTCACCAAAATATAATTGCCGACCCGGCCAAATTCTGGGAATACGTTAAGGATAGGAAGAATCACAGGCAGCGTATGAACGTTTATTCTTTCAGTGGTGTCGAAGTTGTTGGGCAATCTGCGGCCGATGCTTTTGCGAAATATTTTAGTTCGGTATATCGGAACGAAGTTCCTGAGCTGGACCATGTTGATGCGGTACGTGCCGCAGATAGTCAATATGACTCCACCTGTAACTATAAAATTACCATAAATACTGATGACAATACCAAGCTGAAGGAAGCAGTAAGGCGGCTAAAACCGAGGTCGACGTGTGGCCTAGATGGTATCCCTGTTTTTTTAGCAAAGGATTGCATATCCGCTTTTGAGAGTCCGCTCCTGTACCTCTTTAACTTGTCACTGACTCACTCTAATTATCCAGAAATTTGGAAAGTTTCTAGGGTTACTCCGGTTCCAAAAACTGATAGTGAAAACGACGTTTCATCTTTTAGACCGATCGCAGTCTTGTCAGTCTTTGCAAAATTAGTTGAATTGTCGTTGTCAGCAAATTTATATGCATGATATGACTATCATGCAATAAATTCTGAATAAATAAGTTAACACGGTTTTCGAACTGCCCGTTCTACAACTACCAATCTTGTGTCTCATCTTGACTATACATATGCTGGATTGGATGGTGGTAGGCAGGTGGATGCTGCGTACTTCGATTTTAAGAAAGCATTTGACCTGGTCGACCACGATATCTTGTTGCGTAAATTGGCGGTGATAGGCTTTGCCCCGGCACTCGTCAAGTTTTTTTCAAATAATTTACGCGATCAACGTCAGTTTGTTAAAGTGGATGCATTTGAGTCTAGTGACTATTACACAAGATCTGGAGTGAGCCAGGGAAGTACGTTGGGGCCTTTGCTCTTTCTTATTTTCATTAATGACTTACCGAATAGCGTGACTGCCTCCAAATGTCTGTTGTTTGCGGATGATTTCAAGTTAAGCCTAGGTGTAGATGACCCGTCTGACTGCGTGGCATTGCAAAGGGACATCGATGCGGTTATGGATTGGAGTGTATTAAATCATCTTCCGTTTAATAGTAATAAATGTAAAATAATAACATTCACGCGTAAACGCTGTCCACTAAAAAAAGAATATAATTTATCTGACACGCCCTTAGTAAGGGTAAGTGAAATTCGTGACTTAGCATTATTGTTAGACGTTAAACTTGACTTTCATAATCATGTGACTACTGTATGTAAAAAGGCAAGTAAATTGCTCGGCTTCGTTATTCGCACTTCTTCATAGTTTGATAGATTAGAGGTCGCTTTGGTACTTTACAATGCATGTATTCGTAGTAAGATTGAATACGGTACCATTGTATGGAATCCCTATGAGGAAAAATATATTTTGATGATATAGAGAATACAGCGCAAATTAGCACGATGGCTATATAAACAGAAGTACGGTTACTACCCCTATCTATATCCGTCCTTATTTGTTACTGGTATGGTGGGTTTGGACACGCTTAAACTTAGGCGAACTATGCAGTTGATAACATACTACCTAGCAATCATCCATAATCGTATAGATAGTCCTATGATATTAAGTAGTAGGGTTGTTGCCTCCGAAGCGGCTGGGCTGTGATGTGGAGGGGACGGTGGCACCACGGCGGCGGCCGCCGGCGGCACTAGCGATGTCAACCGATTACAACTTTCAGCACCGGTATAAACCGATTAGTAATTTAAAAAAACCGGTTTTCTTAGGTTTTTTTTAGGTTTTTAGGATCCATATGACAATGAAAAAATTGAGTTTTTTTATTAATAGTTATTAAACTTTATTCAATAAAAAAACTTATTTTTAGTTATATAATTAATAATAATTTTGGTGGATAAAACAAAGTTGATCTACTGCAACACCAAGCAACCTGTTCCTTCGCGATGATAAGAAATAGCCGGAAGTTGAAAACATTCGTTCCGAAGGTACAGAAGTCGCTGGCACTGACAGATATTTCAAAGCCATGTTATTAAGCGGCGCCAAATGTTTATTTGTTTTCCAGTAAGTGCCAGCGACTTCTGTACGTTTGTCTTCTCGCCCAGGGTCAATCTCGGTTTCCATATACATGCGCAGTATGTTTACTGCAGAAGCAGTCGCATTTGGAACACCAGTCTCAGTCCGTCTTTGTTTTAAGAAGTCCAAAATTCCCGGCTTCTTTCTTGCCACCTGCTCAGTCGTAGATATTGAATCAGAAGATGGGGCATCAGTTTTATTATTGGAGTCCAGTATCAGACTCCCCAACTCCCGCCTCACCCGGTCTTTAGCAGATAACATATTTTCAGGTTGACGAAAGCCGGTCCTTAAGGTTAGATGCAAATATGCAGAAATTTGTGACACAGTTCTAGTTTCGTAGGCCAACAATCTGTTGCTGATGTTACGCCGTATTGCTTAGCAGAACATCTTGCCTACATCTGTTTCCAGTAATATTTCGATGGTGTTGAGGTTTTCAAATAATCCGCAAATTACAGGAATCACTAAAGAACTCGTTGGGTATTGGTCACCACTCACTAATTTAGTTGAGTCTTCGAATATACCTAAAACATTTACCACGTCTTTGATAATTTTTTCTTCAGAAGAATTGAGGAATTCTGGCGACTGATTTACTTTTCGGCATACTAGTGCCAGTTCATCGGACACTTTTGGCATTCTGGTCATCGTATGAAATTTACTGTTCCAATGTGTCGTAATATCTTGAATTAGTTTTAGTGGCTGAGCACGACATCCAACAGACGACTTCTTAAAAAAATTTACAATTGCTTTGCATTTCTTGATAACTTGTTCCACCTGTGCGAGCTGTAACGATTCTTTGACGGTTAAATCAGGATTGACTGGCACTGTTGTCTGTGGATGACTTCTTTTGAGATGAGCCAACATATTAGATGTCCCTCCGCCTACCTTGATAATTTTTCCACATAACTGACATTTAGCCGAATCATTATTCAATTTTTCAAAATGATTTCTTGTAAGAGATTTTCCTTTTACTTTTGGTATCCTGCAAACAAAAAAAATAAATCGATCAAATTAATAGGTTACTTTATTAGACCACAGGTAAAATTGAAGATATTTACCTTTTGTAGTTTCTTTTTCTTGTTATAAACAAGGCACAAACAGTTAAATACATCTATCGCTATGCTTTGCAAAGAAAATTGCAGAATTGTACAATTGTCTCTGATCTGTAAATCCTCCATTGCTATCGGGCGACATTATCGGGATTCCCCAAACACTGCTATTCATAAGGATTCAGATATACGTTGTAAAGTTACAGGACTGCCAACATGCAAAATAAATCGGTTATTTAACTAGAACCGGTACATACCGGTTTTAAAAAAACCTGTTTTTATCAGGTTTTCTTAAAACCGGTGGACATCACTAGCGCGCACCAGGTACGGCGCTCACGCGTCCACTTCTCGTTTACGGCTTATCGGAGACATGCTCGCAGATGATAACGAGACTGATTTATTTGCTGATAGCTTAGGGCAACTGTGTAATAAAGCCCTTCTATTTTTGACATCCAATTTTGACATATTGTAATATATTCTCTTAATCTTACCTATGTAATCAATCTGACAATGACATTTTGCTTAATTTATTTGACATGTAATCTATTTGATTTTTAATCTACTTGGCATGTATTTTTTTGGTATTTATTTGATCTATTGGACATGTATTCATTAATTTGTTTGACCTTTTGACATGTATCTTATATTATTACTATTATTTAGAACTGTAATTTGTTAATTAGCATGCTGACGTTTTGGGCATACTGTAAGCCAGCATGTACACTGTTTTTAAAATATAAATAAATATAAATAAATTTTATTTTTATGTTGAAAAGTACTTCATCATTATTTTATTTGGACATCATCGTCCAGGACGCTTGGGATAAAAATTTATAAAAAAAATATGATTTGGTACTAATTAGTTTACAAGAAGCGCATTGGACGATAGTGTCCAAATAAAATAATGATGAAGTACTTTTCAAAATGATAATAAACTAGGTACATACCTTAGTAGGTATGTAGTTTATTTTCATGTTGAAAAGTAAGTATACGTCGACTCGTAAGTAAGCATCTATAGGCATAGGTACAAGTCGTATCATGTTGTACTTGTCTATAATATAATATAGGTATCGCCACACGAGAACGCTCTTTTGGTGCACCCAATTATTATCTGAAACTATTTTACAAATAAACGCTGGTTATATCAATCAATTACAATATATTTGTATACTACGTAGATGTAGTTCGGTTCGCGCTTTCATAAATTCATGAAACATTTATGAAAGCGCGATCTGCAGCTTGTCGCTTATGTGTATATATATCGTCGATATTTATAAATCGCGATATATTGATATTCAATATTTATCGTGGAGTATCGAATTCGTATTAATTTTGATATATTTTAAAACCTTGTATTAATCGACAAAACATTAAGCAACAAAAGAAGCTACAAATACATTCATGTGTCGTTGTCGTTATTTTTTCGTTATCCAACCGTCCAGTAATACCATTTTGAGTATTATCGTATTACATTATGCAAAACATGACGATATGTCGATATTCATCACGTGAATATATCGATACGATATATATCGATACAGTTTTTCACTTGCCAATCCCTACTCGTCGCTATTGCCAAATGAGTAGAGAAATAAACGGAATATTGCTAGCAGCTAGCTGGACACGTGATGGGACCCCGCGCGCCGATCGCTGCCCGCGTCTGCTTCACCCCCTTAAAACCATGTGACCATGTTACTATTTTGTCTTAAAACACACTAATAATAAAACACTATTCACAGTTATATCACTTCGAAGTATTCGCTTGAATTGCCAATTCAATACTGACCCGGTTGCGGTCCTTACCGGCCATATATAGGGCCTTTTCCACTAAAACATCTAGAATGTTCGAGTACATACCGGTCCCGGCCGACTAGGTATAGAATGTTCTAGTATAGAATCCTCTAGAAAGCTGTCCTAGTTCTGCTGCTCGGTACTAGATGGCGCTAGTGGTATTCATTATGGTGCGCAACAATATGTATAACTCTATCACTTATTTAAATTCGAATATTTCGAACAAAGAAATAATGAACAATTTAACCAGAATCAACTTTTTTGCTTTATGTTGTTTCAATGATATATCATTATGCACCTTAACGTTGTGTTTGGATGATTCAAATTCATGCGAATAATCGATAAAAATATTTTCAAGTTTTGATTTATTATTCTTTTATTTAAATTGTTATGGACGACTATGAAAGAGACATTCATTTTGAATGCATTATAGAAAATCAAATAATATATAATAATTATTGTAAACAACGATGATGACGGCGCAGCTCAACTATAGTCAAACAAATCTAAGAAATACATTTTGACAGCTGTCAGACTTATTGCACCAAGCATGCTAACCAAAAAGTTGGAACGTACAATATTCGAATCTTAAAAAAATCGATATCGATTATTTAGAGTTGGTAATCATTTACAGTTTGATTTGAACAATACGAGAATAAATTAGAAACGGATAATTTAAAACACAAGCTTTATCAATTTCTTCGTATTTGTTGTTACTGCTTATTTCTAGGGGCAAAGGTATAAAAATTTAAAATTGAAACTAGATTAAAAACAAAATTTATTCAATCACATTCAGTACAACTGGTTGAGCTGTTGTCGTTGTTTAGATTAATTATTATTTGTTTTGCAATAATGCAGTCAAAAATAATGTCTTTTTCAAAATCATCCATAGTCATTTTTTTTTGCTTTTTTCTATCACTTTTGCCCAATCATCCTTTGTGACATAGACATATGCTTCAACGTATATAGAAGAAACAGTCCAAAAGGTTAAAGCCGAGTCACAAAATAAGAAGACAAACACAAAATCACAAAAACTTATGCACAGTATGCTCCCGAAAAGGTGGGAGATTGAAATTACGTAGTGGTTTTTTCAGCGCAGCCTTGTATATGAGTTTTTTATCTACACAAATTTACGTTGACAAAGTAAAAAAAAAACTTGTTTTATTCATGATTCATGTAATTTAAGGAATTTTAAAAACAAAAATTTAATTAAACAAATAATACATTAAAAAGATTAATGATTCGATTATTTTAATATTTTTACCGATTATTTGTATATTTTTGCCGATTATTCGCAAAAAAATGATTTTTAATGATCCAAACACTACGATAAGGTACATAGCGACATATTGAACCGATGTCAAGTAAAAAAGTTGATACTTTTTTAATATTTGGCTTTGTTTGAAAGATTCGAATTTAAATTAGTGATAAAAAAACTATACACATTGTAATGAAATATAGATAACTTCATAATTCTTCGAATTTAAGTAAAAGGTTATTTTAAATCGTGTGAGTACGCTTGTGCAAAGTTATTGCGGAATGATTAATGTGAAACGTCAAAAGGTATTTCTTAGATTTGGTTGACTATAGTTGTAGTGAAAAGTGATTAAATAATTTTGTGCTAAATCTAGTGCTGTCTTTAATTTATATAAATTTATCTGTATAAATTAGCAATAAGCAACAAAATATGACCAACTAAAGAATTGATATTGATATCGTGAGAATCGAATATTATAGGTACCGATTTTTCTGTTGGAATGCCTAGTCCAGTGTGACAACTGTAAAAAACTATTTCTTAGATGTGGTGGGGTATAATGCAAAGTTGTCCGCGCAGGACAACCAATACTCGTACCGCGTGGGTGTGCGGCTGGCCGAGTACCGCGTGGAGGAGGCGAGCGCGCGGCGCACGCTGCGGGGCGACGCGCGCTGGACCGCGCACTTCTACCTCGTGCGCCGCAACAAACGCACCACCTTCACGCTGTACGCGCGCACCGAGGACTGCCGCCGCAAGTGGCTCAAAGCCATACGCGACGCCATGTCAGTGAGCCCTGGCACTGTTCACGCACACGTACACGCACTAGCCGCACTTATACCTCGTGCGTCGCAACAAACGCACCACCTTCATGCTGTACGCGCGCACCGACGACTGCCGCTGCAAGTGGCTCAAGGCCATAAGCGACGCCATGTCAGTGAGCCCTGGCACTGTTCACGCACACGTACACGTACACGCACACGCTCACGCACTCGCACTCGCACTAGCTGCACTTATACCTCGTGCGTCGCAACAAACGCGCCACCTTTTTACGCGAGCACCGACGGCTGCCGCCGCAAGTGGCTCAAGGCCATCCTCGACGCCATGTCAGTTTGCCCTCGCAATGTTCACGCAAACGCACACGCACTAGCCACACTTGAACCTCGTGCGGCGCTTGTAGCGCACCACCTTCACGCTGTACACGCGCACCAATGACTGCCGCCGCAAGCGGCTCAAGGCCATCCTCGACGCCATGTCAGTGAGCCGTCGCACCGTTCACGCACACGCACTAGCCGTACTTGCACTTGCTCTCGCGCGCCGCAATAAGCGCCACGCCTACACGTTATGAATAATATTTTTTAAACGTATTTTCTTACATAATTTATAAAATCGTGTTTGTTTCTTTAAGTACCGTTATCGTTCCGTTATTAATTATCTAGATTTAATTGTTATTTGTACTGCTTTATTAACCTAGCTGTTTAAATTTGCAGTGACAACCTCGAGCCAGCAGGTTGCCGGAGCACAAATCACAAGTTTGTTCTGCACACGTTCGAAAAGCCAGCCACATGCCACCATTGTTCAAAATTTCTGAAAGGAAGAATATTTCAGGTATCTAAATAAACGTCTTTGTTAGACATTTAATTTCTCAATAACCACTTATTTGATTCACCACTTATTAGATTTTAGCTTGTTCTTTCACAAGATATTGGTTACATTCCGATTTTTCGAATATAAAATAATATCAATCTTTCAATAACTATTATTTTGTAATA